ACCATGATGCTGCCACCACCATGTTTGACAGTGGGGATGGTGTGTTCAGGGTGATGAGCTGTGTTGCTTTTACACCAAACATATCGTTTTGCATTGTGTCCAAACAGTTGGATTTTGGTTTCATGTGACCAGAGCACCTTCTTCCACATGTTTGGTGTCTCCCAGGTGACAAACTTTAAACAACACTTTTTATGGAGATCTTTGAGAAATGTCTTTCTTCTTGCCACTCTTCCATAAAGACCAGATTTGTGCAGTGTACGACTGATTGTTGTCCTAAGGACAGACTCTCCCACCTCAGCTGTAGATCTCTGCAGTTCATCCAGAGTGATCATGGGCCTCTTGGCTGCATCTCTGATCAGTCTTCTCCTTGTTCCAGATGAAAGTTTAGAGGGACGGCCAGGTCTTGGTAGATTTGCAGTGGTCTCATACTCCTTTCATTTCAGTATGATATGCACAGTGCTCCTTGTGATGTTTAAAGCTTGGGAAATCTTTTTGTATCCAAATCTGTCTTTAAACTTCTCCACAACAGTATCTCAGACCGACCTGCCTGATGTGTTCCTTGGTCTTCATGATGCTCTCTGTGCTTTGAACAGAACCCTGAGACGATCACAGAGCAGGTGCATTTATACAGAGACTTGATTACACACAGGTGGATTCTATTTATCATCATCAGTCATTTGGGACAACATTGGATCATTCATAGATCCTCACTGAACTTCTGGACTGAGTTTGCTGCTCTGAAAGTAAAGGAGCCCAATAATATTGCACGCCCCACTTTTAGTTTTTATTTGTTAAATTAAATTTCATTCCACTTCACGATTGTGTCCCACTTGTTGTTGATTCTTCACAAAAAAATTAAATTTTATATCTTTATGTTTGAAGCCTGAAATGTGGCAAAAGGTTGAAAAGTTCAAGGGGGCTGAATAATTTTGCAAGGCACTGTATACTACTACAAGTTGTAAAAATGATTATATTAGAGGAATAATAGTTTTAATAAAATGTGTTAATTTAAATGTACAGTATTTAATGATGATTCACAGATAAGTGAATATGTTACTCTTGTTAAAATGAAATATTAGTTATGTCATCAATAATGAATAATCAATAATTTATGCTGCTATTTTTATGTCAAAGTTAGAAACTTAAGTTGGTCACAAATATTGAGTTTCAGGGTCAGCAAGTATTTTTTAATGAATCCAGAGATGGGGGCTGTAAACAAAAACATCTACTAAATGTATTTATGGCTTTGAATTTAAAGGAGCGCTGCAGAATATGACTTCTGTTCTGGAGCAGCTAAATTTAGCTGATTAGCCTGCAGGTTCATTCCAGCATGCTGACACTTGAGGCTCGCTGCAAATTTTTTTACAGAGGGGGGGGGGGGGTGTCGCTCCTGTGGTAGACCGACCGCACAGTTTGAACTGATCTGCACACAGATGGTGGTAAATTTACAGCAGAGTTTAATGAGCAGACTCAAAGCAAACTTGACCCACCTGACAGCTGCAGAACCAGCCACCTGAAGCCCTGGATACTAGAGTATGCAAAACATGCAAAGTACCAGCAGAATAATCAACAGTGGAACTGTAGAACAGTACCAGTACCTTATCATTCATGGCCAGGATGATCATCAGTTTCCTGAAGATGGTGATGAAATCAAGGAACAAGTCCACACAGTGCCTTCAAAACAACAACGTCAGTGAGTACAGTTTGCACGTTTCAGGTGGACAGACCCAGCAGGACGTCAGAGAGAACAGTAGATGGAAGTTCTTACCACACGTAGTCCTTGTCTCCGTTCTCTGCTTTCTCTATGATGAGCTGCGTGTCAAAGAGCACAAAGCCGCACATAATGAGCAGCCCCAGGTACATGTGCGCCTGTCAGAAGAAGAAAGTCATTAAGCACAGCTCATGGACGAGACAAGAGACACTTCCACGGGACCGTCCCCATTTCTTTATTGGACAGCTGGTTTCATTGTGTAAGGACTAAGTATTAACAACAATCTTTGAAAGTGCTTGAAAACATCTGCTGCCCTCTTCTCTTCTCCCGCTCAAGAGCTTTTCTTCTTTACACATCAAGTCCACAAATAATTGTAGATAAATTAAAACGCTTCAATATAAACGAGACCTTCAGCTGATTGTTAAACAGTGTGATTTTGGAACATGCCGATGTTTAGTCATTGTGTGGAGCTGCGGACATAAATGAAGACTTGTGACTTGTCAGCAATCGGCTCGTTACATCGACTCAAAGAAAACTTAAATTAATATGAAATGAGTCCCAGAGAAGCAAAAGATCGGATTGTGTTGGGATGACTGACGGACGTCTGAGACCATCAGCTGCGTCTGCTCGTGTGACACGACGGGGCCCGTGGTTTCTGCAGCGTCAAAAACACCAACAGAATCATGGAAATGGACCTTCACGCTGAAATTTACCGTCACATGTCAAGGTCTGAGCTACAAGTTGCATAATCCAAGTGTTGTGCACATCTGACGTTGGAAAATGAATGAGAGGGTTTCGGGCGCTGCAGACGCATGTAGTCTCCGTCTGCAGCGCCCGAGATTTTACATACAAATGACATAGATAAATATAAAATATATAAATATACATGAGTTTTCCAAGTGTTGAACTGAATCTGTTGATTCAAGTTTCTTTCTTTGTCACCTCATGTGGTGGAACAAATGATGCACACAGGGTCCCAGTTACAGCCAACAATAAAATGTAAAAACCAGTAATAAGATCCGAGATATGAACAAAGATAAACAACTAAATATACACGAAGCTCCAACAGCATGAAAACACCACGTGGAACAGCAGCACGAACATGAGTCTGAGTGAGCAGATGAGCACGAACACAGCAACATGACAGATCAGCAGCGACATGACACAGATCAGCAGCGACATGACAGATCAGCAGCGACAGGACACCGATCAGCAGCAACAGGACACCGATCAGCAGCAACATGATATGGTTTTTCACAGTGATTATTCTAGTTAGAGATTCATGAGTCTAACAGCCTCAGGGTAGAAGCTGTTCCTCAGTCTAGTGGTTCGACACTTAATGCTCCTCAACCTCCTTCCTGAGGGAGTGGGTCAAAAGGTGTGTGTGCTGGGTGAGTGGGGTTGATGCTGAATGCTTTTAAAAGATGTTCATTTGAATAAAACTGTGGTTACTTTGTTGTTGTTTTTTAATCCGTTGTCATAAAAACACGTTTTACATGAAAAAATGTGATTTTATCATAAAACAAAACTCTGTAAAGAAAAAAACAGAATCTGAGGAAAAATAAATTTGGTGATGTATGTGGGATTGACTGAAAATAAAGTGCACGTTTCAGGACTGTTCTATGAGGAGTTGGTTTAAAAGTCTTACAATTGGTCCTCATTACCTTGAAGAGCATGAGGGATCCAAAAAATACGTTCATCAAGGACATGAGGAAGAGGATGGAAAGGCCCGACATCAGAGCACCTGACAGGAAAGCAAACTGTTACCACAGCTTTTCTACACGATGCAGGGAAATCTTTCATGCTGTAAAATGAGTTTCTCTTATGAAGAAACTGATCTGTTGCAGCAGGAGGGAGCTCCTCTACCTCCAAGGAACAGGTAGCTCCTGCGTTTTGCATAAACGGCGCTGAATGTGAAGCACGTGAAAATCACAGAGGTTCCCAAGAAGGCTGTGACGATGATGCTGAGGGGAAACAAACCGTGTTACAGCTGAACTGTTCTAGTGGTGAACGCACTTTTAGGATTTCACAGATGCAACTTTTACTGAGCAGCTGCTAGCAGACATTTGACACCAATTAATCCTTGACATACCTTGGATTGACAGCAATGACAAAGTCCAGTGTGGGGCCAAGGCCAACACCTGGAGAGGCAGAGCAAAGAGCAAACACGGCTTTGAACACTTACATAATTACAGAGTGACTGCTCATGGCTCTGAACATGGAACGTCACAAACAGCCTCATCAGCTTACCTGTGAGGAAGGCAAACGCTGCGAGGATAGTCAGCCTCTTCTTCTCCGTCTCAGGGTTGTGAGGCGTCATAGCGAGCCAGAACATCATTCCCAGTGACCCGAGAACCGACAGGATTCCCCCCTGTGAGGACGGGAAGAGGAAAACATACAAAAATCAGGTTTTGCTGATCAGTATTTTACCACTCAGCCTTACGAACAAAACTGATTTTTAGGATTATGTAATTTATTTATGTCATATCTAAAATGTGTGTTTTGCTTTAAGAACAGTCACAGCACATTTTCACAGTAGTTTGTTTAATATTACTGAAGGAAGAAGAACAGAAAAACTAAATGGGAGAACATCTGCACAGGAAAAAGTCCAGTATTAAACACTGTGGAGTTATTTTTGATCAGGACATGTCTTTTATCCCCCACATTAAAAACGTTACTAGAACCTCCTTCTTCCACCTGCGTAATATCACTAACATTAGAAACATCTGATCTAAACATGATGCAGAAAAACTGGTCCATGCATTTGTCACGTCTAGACTGGACTATTACACTGGTTTATTATCTGGGTGTTAAATACTTCTTTAAAACGTCTTCAGTTGATCCAAGAAGCTGCTGCCAGTCTTAACTGGAGTTACTGGGAGGCCTGTTGCGATAAACAATAAATCAATCGCATGATAAATGAAAATTAGAGCAGCATGGTGGTGCAACTGGTAGAGCTGCTGCATCTCAGTGAGCAGGTCCCTGGTTCAAATCCCGGTCCAGAGGCCTTTCTGGGTGGAGTTTGCATGTTCTCACCGTGCATGCGTGGGTTTTCTCCAGGTACTCCGGTTTCCTCCCACAGACCAAAAACATGCATGTTAGACTGATGGTAACTCTAAATTGTCCCTAGGTGAGAGAGAGAGTGAATGGTTGTCTCTATGTGTCCCTGTGATGGACTTGCAACCCGTCCAGGATGTCTTCCGCCCCTCGCACAGTGATTGCTGGACATGGACACCAGCGACCCAAAATGGAAGAAGCGGGTAAAAGATGATGGATGGATAAGTGAAAATTATCAGTTTTATCGTTTCTTCGTGTCTCTCTTTCTACTGAAGACACTGGATGACAAAAAACTAAACTCCGGTGCTCTTCACTGACCCCTCCCTTTGTCTTTTCTCTTTAAAATCCATTTTAATTGTCCAACATCGTGTTTTTGGATCGTTAAAAGCAGCTAAGCTGAGGACAAATTGACCACATTTCCTCACTCTGCTTATGTCTTTACTTGCTCTACTCTACCCGTTTGTATTTGTAATTATTTGTAATTATTTCTATCCTTAACAAGTGCTTTTAGTCTAAGTGATGAGAGACTGTGACAAAGTGAAGATTCAACATGTCTGCTGGCTTAATGTTTCTGTAAAGTGGCCCGACACACTTTGTGTATTTAAATAAGCTGAATTTGTTCTCATCACCTGAAAGAGGCGTGTGGCGACATGAACGTAGGAGCCGGCTGCAGCCACAAACATGCAGAGAGCCAAGCTGGAGTACACATTCTTCAAATGCACCTGGGTGGAATGAGATCTGAAGAGAAGATTATAGAACGTGAGAGATTAACATGTGACTCATAGCACAACAAAGTTAAACAATAATCTAAATGCTTACATACATTTGGGAGAACCTAAAGAGAGCATCGATGTTGATGTTGCGGTCAAACATGTTCATGATGAAATCAGGAAGTAGGACGTGAAGAACTTGAGGTCAGTCTCAGTCTGCTTGGAACAGAAAAAAATAATCACATTACTGCTCAGTTTAACGATTAGGGTGAAGACTAGTGTACGGTCATCTCTCTGTGACGTATGGATTAAACTGTGAAAACAAATCGATCTGCGAAGAACAGTGCTCAGCTCACCAGCTTCCAGGTAGGGTTTGAACTTTAATAAACTTTACTTTCAATAAATGTGAACAAACAAAACTTTTTGAAATACCCTGCTCCATCAGCCCACCCATCTTCACGCCTTATTCCTAATAAACCAATATTGATTCTAAATTACATTTTGATTGCGTGTACATTAGAAATGTCCATAAATACATCCTGATGCATGCTCAATAATCCAGGTAGAAAAATCTAAAAAAAAAGTTAAATCTGGTCCTCTGGACATTTAAAAAAACAAAAAACAAAAAAAAAAACAAAGCAAA